ACATACGCAAAGGGTAGCGGAGTAAAGATACCTTCAGGCCTTATCAGCTCACGGGCTTTGCAAACCCCAACGCATGACTCACCTAGGTCGGGCAGGACGTGTGAGGTGAGCCTTCGCTCGCACTTTCCGGGTGCCACAGCCTCGTAGATTGCATCGATTCTCACCCGGGAGCCATTGCGACAGACTTCTTTGGAAAACGACGCCGGACATGGTGAACTGAAAGGGGATGGAAGGCGCGATTAACCCGCAGAACTACTATTCAAAGATGCATGAACAGGAAGCAATCCCAGTCTGTCCCCCTAAGAGTATGAGTTCGCAACTCGTAGAAGTCACCTTCAGCACCCGTCTAGAATTTTCTATTTGAACTCTTCCTCCAAGTAACTGACTCGCTTTAACACAAAGAACATCTCTAAGCCCCTAGTAAATATTTTTGGCAGGTACTCTAGAATACCCGATCGCGTACGACTTTTCCCCGATCAAACTAGCAACTGTCTAAACTCGATTGGCTAGTTGACTGCCCAATCACAGGCCTGCGACCGTGCAGATACTGCTTGAAGATCAAAGAGGTCGTGACCTGGTTAGGATTTGTCCGAATTTTCTGACAAATAAAGTAATTTAGATTGCCGGTTTTTGTCCCACATTTATCCGCAAAGACTGGAGACCGATTCTGGGGCTTGCAGTTGTGCCTACTCTGTCCAAAGATCATCATTTCATGCATCAGGGGATGCCCGACTCCCAGTAAATTAAACGGTTTTCGAGGTAAACCTACCCTACAGCATAGCTTCCGGTTAGTTCTAGACTCAAAAGCAGCAGGGGCAGTAGCCACCTCAGAGGATGAACACCTTGGTGGCTATGCTGATCCATTAAGAACAGCAGAATAACGACGGTTTGTTATTGGTTGGTCTGCTTGTTGGCTGAATGGCGGTTTGTGGCAGAGGGATTTCCTAATGCGTCTGAAAGACGCGCGGGATGGTCAGTAGCGCTCCGTTTCGTCTTTTATACCCTTCAGAGTTTCCCACTCCAGCCCGTATGATCAGGTCAAACTTTCGATTGAAGCGCCGGAACTTCCAATAAAATTGCATTCCCTGTAACGTGCTGGAACCCGCATTTTGGGCTAGTTTGTCCGTCATCTGGCGAGATTTATTGTGAAGGCGAAAGTTTTGTGTCGGACTGGTCACGAGCCAAATAACTTTCTTTGACATGTGCTTAAATGTACTCTTCTGGACTCCATTAAGTGCAAAAACACGTATTTTTTGATGGACTTTAACAGATATTACTAAAAGACTGTGGATAACTAACTTAAATGGAAGGTATACTTGGTGCGAGATTTCTGCTTCTCACAAATCACCTCAGTCAAATTCTCTGACTATTAAGCATTTTGGATTATGTCATCCAGCGAGAAAGAAGAAAACATGCTGATTTAGCTTTCATCAAAGCTGATAGAAAGACAGCTGGTTAATTCGATTTAAGACGCGGAACGACATCTTACTGTTAGCGTATGACCTTCGAGGGGTTACTGCACGACCAATCTCGCCAGAAGAGAGATATCATTCGCAGGAGCTGTAAGATGCACTATCCGTTGCAACAAAGTAATAGTATTTGCTTTTCTTATTTCCCCGGAAAGCAGAAATCCGCAGTTGCTAATGGATTTTGGCTCACGTGTACGTATTAACTTATGGTCAGCCTAAAAAGGTTTGTTTCGAAGGATTTACTCCGAGTACGCGCGTAAATTTTCCTAGAAATTGAAAAAGAGCAACGCTGAAAGTTGGAGTATATATGAGAAAACCCATTGGAAACGCAGGATGTAAGCATTGATGAGTCGAACCCCTCCCGGCTGCCTCATGTCGCGACAAAAATTGACGGAACTGGGCTTTTAGCTAGTACCCGTGCTGTCAGTACGATTAGTTATCCAGCACTATAATATTTGCTAGTAGAATAAGGCCAAAATCAGGACGTTATAATGCCATTGCGGATTGTTAGATGCTTTTAAGGCCCGTCTTCTCTTCTATTAGACACTTCCCTGTCAGACATACTTGCCATGTCTCCGCTCTTGAAGACGAACCAGCTCGTACAGGTGCGACTTTTAGAGCACAGGACTGGGGAATAGGCGCTATCCTAACCCTAAAACCAAAGGTTACGCAACCTTTACGGTGCAAAAAGTCCGGAAAATTTCTAAGACAGGGAAAAGGGGGCGACAATAAGTGTACCTTATTTGCTTTTCTCTTCACCTTTTGTAGTATGGTGGTTGTTAGGGCTCGAGTAGTCGTTTATTGTTCACACATGGGTCGTTAGCTGGCCACAGTCGTGCCTACACGTCTAGGCACTAATACCGACTAACAGGGCACCCCTCCCCTTTTTTGATCAATCACCTCCGAATCCATCCGCCGGCGTGTCAT